TTTGAACCGCCAGCCTTCTGGTTAGCAGTCAAGTGCTTTAGGCACTATGCTACCAGAGCTCCCCCATTTCTTCTAGGTTTTCAAATTTGTTTGAGTACTGCTCATAGTGTTATTACCCTTTTTATTTCAGTTGATTCTTTTGTGATGTCACCCATTTCATTTCTTATTCATGTTATTTGCATCTTTCCTTTCTTTTCTTCAGTTACATTTGCCAGTGGTTTGTCAACTTGGTTAATCTTTTCGAAGAACCAACTTCTAGTCTTATTGATTCTATTATTTTTATGTTTCAGTTATTTCTAATCTAATCTTTACAGCTTTCTTTCTTTTGAAGACTGCAGGCTGTTTTTGCTGCTCTTTTTGTAATTGATAGAGTTGCTGGGTTAAAGTATTGATTTTGATTCTTGTTTTTTAATGTGTACATTTATTCCTGTAAATAGCCCTCAGACAACTGCTTTTGCTTTTTCCCAAAGCTTTTGGTATGTTGTATTTTCATTCTTGTTTGATTCTAGATTTTTTTTTTTAGCTCATTTTTAATTTCTTCTGTTACCCAGTAATTTTTGAGCAGGATATTATTCAGCTTCTATGTATTTTAATTTTTCCTCCCTGATCTTCCTATTACTGATTTCTAATATTATAGTATTGTGATCTGAGAAGATGCTTTGTGTAATTGAGATGTTTATAAGTTTACTAAGACTTAATTTGTGGCCTAACATATGGTCTATTCTGGAAAATGGTTCATGTGCCCTGGAAAGGAACATGTACTGTGTTTTGTTTGAGTGGAGTGTTCTATAGATGCCTGTGAGGTCAAGTTTTTTGACTGTGTGGTAGAGATCTTCTGTATTTTTGTAGAGTTTCTTTCTAGTTGTTCTGCCCTTCATTGAAAGTGGTGTGTTAAAGTTTCCTACTATTATTGTGGAGTTGTCTGTTTCTCTTTTCAAGTCTGTTAATGTTTGCTTTATGTATTTTGGGGCTCTTAGGTTGAGTACATAGATATTTGTTAGGGTTATGTCCTCTTACTAGATTGACCTTTTAATTATCATATAATGCTCTTTCTTGTCCTTTATGCTGATTTTTGCCTTGATTTCTACTTTATCAGAAATTGATATTGCCACTCGGCTCTTTTTCTGTTCTTAGCTAGATACATTTTTTCCTATCCTTTGATTTTTAAGTTATTTTATCTTTATTTCTAAGGTGAATGTCTTATAGGCCACAGATTGATGGGGTCCTATTCTTGTATCCATTCTGCCACTCTTTCTCTTGACTAGTACATTTAATCCGTTTACATTCCGTGTAATTAATGGTGAGGTATGAATTCATGGTTATCATTCTTTCATGTTTTTTCTTGTGATGTTGATGATCTCTTTGTTATAATAATTTCTTTTCATTTTCTTCATTGTGGTTGATTTTGTGTTACTAAATCCTTAGGATTTTCTTCTTTCTTTTGGTTAGAAGGTTTATTAATTTTCTTTGTGGTTACCCTATAATTAATTTTTATCTTCCTGTGGAGCAGTGTCTAAGGCATTTGACTGCTAATCAGAAGGCTAGCAGTTCAAACCCACCAGCCACTCCTCAGAGGGAAGATTGGGCAATCTACTTCTGTAGTGATACTGCCTCGGAAATCCAAGGATGGGTTGCTATGAGTCAGATCTGACTCAATGGCACTGACTTTTTTTTATTATTATTATTTGAAATGGGAGCTCTGGTGGTGTAGTGCCTAAGCCATTGACTGCTAACCAGAAGTCTGGTGGTTCAAATCCACCAGCCACTCCTCAGAAGGAAGATGGGCAATCTACTTCCATAGTGATACCGCCTTGGGAACCCAAGGAGAGGTCTCTGAGTTGGAATTGACTTGATGACAGTGAGTTTTGTTTTGTTTTTTAATATTTGAAATAGTCAGTTCTTTCTTGATATCATCCTGACTTCCTCTCCATTTGGAAGTTCTGTAATTATACTATTTATTCTCTCTTTTTGCCATGTAGTTGTTTACAGATTGGCACTACTGGTTCTCTATTTTCAGTCTTGTAAATTTATTTTAATTGTGAGAATTCTTTTTCTGGATTGGTTTCTGGCTGATGTGTGTGGCTTAATCTCCAGTTGGAGTCTGCCATTGTTGGTACTCTGAAGGATTTTCTTTAGCATTTTTTGTAAGGTTGTTCTGCTTTTTACTAATTCCTTAATTTCTGTTTATCTGGGAATGTCCTCATTTTGCCATCATATTTGGACAATTTTACTGGATATATAATTCTTGATTGACAGTTTTTTTCTCGTAAGGTTTTATATTTGTCATCCCACTCTCATCTTCCTTTCATGGTTTCTTCCAGGAAATCAGAGCTTAGTCTTATTGGTTGCTCTTTGTAGGTAACATTTTGTATTTCCCAAGCTTCTTGGAAGACTCTTTGTCTTTGATTTTGGAAAAATTGATGATATGTTTTGATGACTTTCTTTTGGGGTCTATTCTGCATGGAGTTCATTGAGCTTCTTGGATGGACATCTTTCTATCTTTTATGATATTAGGGAAGTTTTCTTTTCGTGAGTTTTCAACAATTTTACCTGTGGTTTTTTTTTTTTTTTTTGCCTTCTGGAATTCTGATCATATGTAAATTTTTCCTTTTGTTAATGTCCACATAATTCTTAGACTTTTTTCATTCCTTTCTTTTTTTTTTTTGTCAATTTTCCTCTTACAAATTGGTGTCAAGGGATTTGTCTTCTAACTCACAGATCTGTTCTTCAGTTGATTAGATTGTTCTCTTTTGTCTTTCCAATGTGTTATCTGTCTACGTAATTTTAGTGTTAATCTTCTAGATTTCTAGTTGCTGTTTTTTATGGTTTATAATTGTCTATTTATTTGTCATTTTACTCTTGTATTTTCCACAATTCTCCTAGAGTTTTGTTTGTGGTTTCCTTGAGCTCTTGAAAGGCCCTATATATATATATATATATATATATATATATATAAATTCCTTATCAGGTAGTTCTATTGGTTCTTCCTCAGGGAGGTTTCCTTATTCTTTATTTTGGTCACACCCTTGTACCATCTTGTCCTTTTTTTTTTTTTTTATTTGAGGTTTCCTCTTATCTCTGCGATGTTTTGTAGCTGATGTATTTATTTATTCATTATGTGTTCACTTGTTTCCTCCAGATTTTTCATTTTGCTGTGTTTTGATATATCTATTTGGGTGGGATGGGCATGTTTCTTTGGTTGCTAGTTTGGCAGCACTGGGGGCACTCCTCACCTTTTTATAGGTAAGTGGTGTAACTAGACAGAGTGTGGGCATGGGTGTCCATGTGCTGGTCATGAAGAGCAGTTTTGGGCTGTGTGAGCAGGTGTTGTCCACTATCTGTTGTTGATCCAGTGGTGCAATAGTGGGTGTTGGTGTTCATCCATTGGGTGATGTGGTAGGTGTGGTAGGTATGGCTGACAGGGAAACAATGTCTACCTCTTCTTCAGTTGGGCAGAAGATAATAAAGGGGGTGATGATAAAAAGATGGGTAAAAATAAAGAAGAAAAGGAAGAGGGGAAAAATAAATAAAATAGAAAAAGTGGTAAAATGTAAAGGTTAAAAAAAAGGAAGAAAGGGGGCAGCAGTAGGAGCAGGCAGCTGTCACACAATCTCCAGGATTGTGTGTTTGCAGAAGGAATAGGAGCCTGGTATAAGTCCACACATGTGTGCACCTCTGACATTAGAGGCCCTGGGCATTCATCTTGTTCCATGAGAGTACAACCTGTCTATCACACAGGTGCTGGGTACATAGAGCACACAAGCTTGCAGCTTAGTCTGCTTGGGGTACAGTGCAGCAAGTGGCTGCAGCTCAAGCTAACTGGGTGGGTGGGGACCAGCAGAGGAGGTGTCCCTACCCATCAGGTCGGTGTGGATGGGCGGGCTCAACCCTCGTCACTGGAGAGGTGTGCTGGGGAAAAGGGGAGAAAGTACTTATCTGGTCACAGTTCACTGGCATGGGCCTAGTGCGCTTCTGGGTGTGTGCAGCCAATTATCCAGTTTCTGCTCAGAGTCAATTGAGTGGGGGCCACCCTGAGTCCATTGTCTCCAACCACCACCCCATAGTCTTTTCCCTTTGCATAGGCTCTCAACTCAAATGACTACCGCTCACTGGTAGTGACTTGTTTCATCCCCCTTCACTGACTCCCTCCTCAATTTACCGTCATAATTTGCCATTATCTGTACCAATGGAATTCTCACCTGTTTCCCTACACTTTCTTTCCTTTGTCAGATCCGGCTTGTATTTTGCTCACCTTATTTCACTCTGGATCTGTCTACACTGTGTCTCTGTCCCAATGAGAATTCCATGAAGTTGGTTTCTCCTTGCCCGTATAGGATGCCTTCTGTGTCTCAAAATGGCCACATTTCATTGAGCCTTAGCTTCTTCTCATTCCTCAGTCACTGTTTTTGCTGTCTCCCTTTACAGTTGGTGTTTAATCCAGTTCTCTCTTCCCTCATTTGAGTCTCAGAGTTCCAGGATTGTCATCTCTATCTGTTTTATTGGTATCTTTTGTAGAGAGATTGGGTGGAGTATGTCACCAGGGTGCCATCTTGTCTCTTCTTCCCTTACTAAGAGTGTAAAATTTTAGTTTTGATGTTTCAAATTATTAATAGATCTGGAATTTATTTTTATATACAGTATAAAGTGGAGGTCCACTTTAATCTTTTAACATGTAGATCATCTGTTTCCAAAACCATCTTGCCTACTTTTTCTTTTTAACTGCTTATACCAAATATTTACCCATTTAAAGTGTAAAGTTCATTGTATTTTAATTGTGCACACATTACTACAATCTAATTTTAGTACATTTTCATCACCCCTAAAATAAATCCTATGCCCAGTAGTAGTCACTTACTATTCTCTTCCACCCCCACCTAGCCCTAGGCAATTATTAATCCTGTTTCTGTCTGTAGATTTGCCTATTATGAACATTTTACTTGGAATAATACAATATGTGGCCTTGACAATAATGTTTTCACAGTTTATCTTTAACATGTAGTAGTACTTCATACCTTTTTACTTCTGAGTGGAATAATATTCTATTGTATATTTTGACATCCATTCATCAATTGATAGACCTTTGAGTTGTTTCCACTTTTCGACTATTATGAGTAATAATACTATGAACATTTTTGTACAAGTTTTTGCGTAGATGTACGTCTTCATTTCTGTTGGGTATATACATAAAAGTGGAATTGCTGGGTCATATGGTAACTCTATATATAACATTTTGAGGAAATACCAAACTATTTCTAAAGTTGCTTTAGCATTTTACATTCCCACCAGCAATGAATAAAGATTCCAATTTCTCCATGTCCTCTCCAACAGTTATTTCTAGTTTTTTATTATAACCAACCTAGTGGGTGTGGAAGGAGCTCTGGTAGTGTAGTGCCTAAGGCAATTGACTGCTAACCAGAAGGCTGGTGAACCCACCAGCTGCCCCTAGGAAGGAAGGTTGGGCAGTCTACTTCTGTAGTGATATTGCCTCGGAAACCCAAGGAGGGGTCGCTATGAGTCAGGGCCAACTTGATGGCACATAACAACAACAATGGGTGTACAGTGGTATTTCATTGTGGTTTTGGTTTATATTTCTCTGATGACTAATAATATGAAGCATCTTTTCATGTGCTTGTTGGCCACTTGTGTATCTTTGAAGAAATGTCTTTTTAAGTCCTTTGCCCATTTTTATATTGGGTTGCTTGTCTTTTTATTGTTGAGCTGTAGGAATTCTTTATATATTCTGAATATTAACCTTTGTCAGACATAAGGGTACAAAATATTTTCTCCCGTTCTATTGACTATCTCTTTAATTTCTTCATTAATTCCTTTGGATGCACAAAATATTTAATTTTTGTGAAATCCAGTTCATCTATTTTGTCTTTTGTTGCTTGAGCTTTTGGTGTCCTATCTAAGAATCAATTCTCAAAAACTAGGTCCTGAAGCTTTACCCCTATGTTTTCATCTAAGAGTTTTATGGATTTAGCTCATATATTTAGGTCATTGATTCATTTTGATTTAATTTTTGTATGTGTGCTCATGGATCTGATTGTATTGAATTATAAAAAGACTCAATGCTATCACGTTGATTCCAACTCATAGCAACCCTCATTAGGTTTCTGAGGCATTAAATCTTTACAGAAGTAGATTGCCTCATCTTCCTTCCACAGAGCAGCTGGTAGGTTTGAACCACCAACCTTCTGGTTAACAGTCAAATGCCTTAGGCACTATACCATCAAAGTTCCCTGTATTGAATTATATCCTCCTGTGGTAGTTAAAAGTTGTATGTCAACTTGGTTGGGACTGGCTGAGTGGCTGGGCAGCTGGTGGCAGTTATTCCCCATGATGAGACTGCCAGTTAACTCCATGGTGGCATCTACCACAAGCAGCTGAGTAGCTGCTTTGGGTATGTGGTCTGCTTCCTGTGTATCAGAAGCAGCTTTGGGAATGGTCTCTAGCTTATGGCACACTGGAACCCTGCATGGAGCCATGTCATTGTTTAGCAGCCTGCCATGCTCTGCTGACTTTGGGACTTTCAATGGACTTGAATTAATGGCCTGCCATGTGGTTTGTTCAGGACTGTGCCATTTTATTTGTCGACCTTGGGCTTGTTAGCCTCAGCAGCCAGTAGCTGCCTGAGTGAAGAGATACCTGTAGCTTCAGTGGGCCTGGAGCAAGAGGCAGAGCTGCAGCCCAAGGTCGAGGGGCTTTCACACAGCCCCTAGAGTGTGGCACTTTGAACTCGGACTTCAAGCCTTCCGAACTATAAGAGAATAAACTCCTGTTTCTTCAAGCCATCCCATTTGTGATATATGCCTGTCAGAGTGGCACTAGGTAACCAGAACACCCCCCCAAAATATATGTTGTAAATCTTAATTTATATGCCAGTTGTAAGGAACTCTGGTAGTATAGTGCCTAAAGGCACTTGACTGCTAACCAGAAGTCTGGCGGTTCAAACCCACCAGCCACTCCGTGGAAGGAAGATGGGGCAATCTACTTCCATAGTGATACTGCCTCCAAAACCCAAGAAGGGATCTCTATGAGTTGAGTCTGACTCAATGGCACATTACAATGCCTGTTGTAATCCCATTTGGGAATGGGTTGTCTTTGTTATGTTGATGAGACAGGATCATTATAGGGTATGTCTTAAATCAATCTCTTTTGAGATATAAAAGAGGTTAAATAAGCAATCGAGAAAAGCAAAGATGAGGGGAAAGAGATATTAAGTTATATGAAGATTTCACAGGAGCAGAAGCTCAGAAGAGAAAGAGCCTTCCTCTAGAGGTGACAGAGATGGAAAGCTTTCACCTAGAGCCATCACCCTGAATTCAGACTTCTAGCCTCCTAAGCTGTGAGAAATAAGTTTCTGTTTGTTAAAGCCATCCATTTTACTTTGGCATTTTTGTTGTAGCAGCACTAGGAAGCTAAGACAGGGTCGAACTTCAATCTTTTGCAATCCAGTTATCACAGGACTATTTGTTGAAAAAGCAGCTTTGAGGGAGGCTCGGAAAGGTGAGCTGGGCATGAGGGTGTTTGGGAGCAGCTTTAAGGGAGGCCTGGAAAGGACAGCCTGGCGCGGGGTGTTTGGAAGCAGGTATAGCGGGGATCATGAGGCTGGCACAGGACTGTGCAGTGTTTTATTGTGTTGTACATGGGGTCACTGTGAGTTGGAGATGACTCAACAGCACCTAACAACAACAACAATAACAACATTTGTTGAAAAGACTATTCCTTTCTCATTCGGTTGTCTTGGCAACCTAGTTGAAAACAGTTTTCCGTAAATGTAAAGTTTATTCTGGGCTCCCAATCTATTCCATTGATCCATACATCTATCCCTATGCCGGTACCATGCTGTATTTATTACTGTGAATGTGTATTAAACTGTGTTGTAAGTTTTGAAATTGAGAAGCATGTTGTTGTTGTTGTTGTTGTTATGTGCCGTTGAGTTGGACCCAACACATAGCGACCCCTCCTTGGGTTTCCGAGGCAGTATCACTACGGAAGTAGATTGCCCAACGTTCCTTCCGAGGAGTGGCTGGTGGGTTTGAACCACCAGCCTTCTGGTTAGCAGTCAAGTGTCTTAGGCACTATGCTACCAGAGTTCCCTTGAGAAGCACGAGAGCCCTTTTAACTTTGTTCTTCTTTTTAATAGTGTGTTTGGCTCTTTTGGGATCATTGAATTTCCATATACATTTTAGGAGGTGATTTTCAATATTTGCAGAAAAGTAAGCTGGGATTTTGAAAAGAATTGTGTTGAATCTGAAGATCAATTTGGAGAGCATTGACATCTTTACAATATTAAGATTTTTATTCATGTATGCCTTTTCACATTTCTTTCAACAATATTTGTAGTTTACTACTTTTTTATGTTTGTGCAAATGGAATTTTAAAATTAATTTTACTTTTAGATTTTTCATTGCTATTTGTCATAGGTACCTAGTGCTGCTGTCACACAAATACCACAAGTGGGTAGCTTTAAAGAATATATATTTGTTTTCTCACAGTTCAGGGTCTTGATTGTGTTGATTGATTCCTTCTGTGTAGGTAGTCCCAGACATTCTTTGGGTAGTTCATAATCCTTTCATGGTGTCTGTCATCCCCTGTGTGTATATCTCTGTGTCTATTCTAGTCTTTTTATAACTCA